GCACGTGTAAGGAAGGGCAGACGAGGCTTGCGATATTTCCGTTGTTGAGCAACTGATTGTATTTGTTAAGTACTTTGATCATTATAAGGGTACAGCAAAAACTGAATTTCTTGGAATCGAACCTTTGCGTGACCCCCAAGGAGTAACAGCTGAAGCTGTGACAAAGAAACTTGTGGAAGTCTTAGAGAAATGTGAATTGTTCGTAGAGAATCTCAAGTCATTTGTTAGTGACGGGGCAAGTGTTATGATGGGAAAGACAAATGGCGTAGCTGCCCGACTGAAAGGCCTCAACAAGTTTATTGTCAATTTTCACTGTATATGTCACAAATTAGCTCTGGCATGTGGAGACAGTGGAGATCAGATCAATTACATCAAAGATGTTGAAACCACCCTAACAAGTATTTGGAAGTTCTTTCAGTATTCCCCAAAGAGGACCAATGTTTTCGTTTTGATTCAAATGCAATTGTCAAAGCTCAATTTGCCTGACCAAGGGAAGAAAGTACTGGTAACAAAGATACAGAAAGCGTGCTGCACTCGCTGGTTATCATTACACCAGTCTGTAATCAGTGTTCACAAAAACTTTGAGGCATCGCTTCAAACGTTCCAGTTTCTTGAGAAGGATCCTTTGGCTTTAGGTCTTTACAAGAAAGCCAAGTCTCCAAAGTTTATTGGGGCAGTTTACATGTTCACTAGAGTTTTGCCAATATTAACTGAACTAAGCAAAACATTTCAATCAAGCGCTCTTAACTTTGGACGAGTCAAACCAGCCCTTGACTACTACACTCAGACTCAGCTCACATCACAGAAGGATTCACACCAGTTCTTGGATGATCTAGAGTGGGATTTGAATGAGGGTGGGAGACTTGGCCGCATTGGTATAACCCTCAGTGACCAGGATAAGAGGGTTATTTTGGCACTGAATGAGAAATACATCAGTGCATTGAAGCAGAACATTGAACAACGTTTTGGTGACTGCCTGAACGTTTTTTCATGTTTTCATGTATTCAATCCCATGGAGTTGCCAAACAGAGACAGTCCTGAATTTAAGGACTATGGGATTGCTTCTATGAAAGTGCTTGCAAATCACTATTATCAAGACAGTAAATGCAGAGAGCAGGAAACTGATGAGCTGTTGTCTGAATGGAACAAGTTTAAGTTTGACATGTTGAAATAGAAGTCTGAGATGCCAGATCCTTCAGTCTTGCAGAACACTCCATTAGAATGGACTTTGCAGAGACTCCTTCAAATGAAGACAGAGTTGCTAGTGCCTTAAAGAGACTGAAGACAAGATTCAGGAGCAGGCTTAACAGTGATCTCCTCAATGCTTTAATGCAGATTACGTTGAATGGCCCTCCAGTTCAGTCCCCCAAAGCAGAAGAAGTCATACAAAGTTCAGTCAAGACCTGGCTTAGTATAAAGAAGAGAAGGAAATTGCCCACACATATGTCAGGTCAAAACCAGTCCCAGGGTGCAAGTGTCAGTGAACAAGTGCAAGCAGTAACTATGGTGGACCAGGAAGTTCAATGTACTGGCAATGAGGAGCTGACAACAGGTACAGAAGCTGAAGAGCTTCAAGAACTTCATGTAGCCACGGACGCTTTCAGCCTTGACCTTGTGGGTGATTCAGACAGCGACTTGGGTCTTGAGAGTGAGGATGAGGCTGAGTATTAGCAAGTCGAACTGAAGCAAGTATTTAAACTTTTAAGTAATTACCTGCTCTCACGATTATGTCAACATTTTTGTAAACTGAATTTTCACTCCTGTGATTTTAAATGAGGGGCCCATTAACAAAGGGTGATGCTACATGTATGTAGGTCTGACTGAGTAGAAGCAACCTTTCAGAATTAACCCAGGAGGTTGAGAGTTCAACACAGGCATCAATGCTTTTTGATACAAAAATCAGAATTTACTTCAACTTTCATAGGCACTTTCAAAACAAAAGTTCTGTTATTTACTTAGAGGGTGCCCTTCCTGAGACCTTTAAATTCCTAGAGTTTTAGTTGCTTAAAGTACTAATTTTTCTCTATAAATGCCTCATCAGAACTCATCAAAATCGCATCTCCGGGCTATGACATGTCCAAAATTTTCCGGGGGCACATGCCCCCGGACTCCCCTAGAAGCTTGTGGCTGTTGGCCACTCACTTCATTCCGGCTGTTAAACATATTCTTCCACCTATTCCAATTTCTAACTACAACCCTGTGATGGGTTCTTTGTTTCATTTTCTTTTAGTCTCAATTTCAGTAGATTAAAATCGCAGAAAAATTTATTTTACAATTCATAATGCTCAGAGCACTTTTTTTCAGTCTGGATGATAATCCACTCAACCTCACGAGTTTTAGTCGCCAGGCTGGTGACTTCCGTTTCAAGTTAGTCGCCGGCTCCAAAATTCTAGTCACCATGGCAGCTAAAATGGTCGCAACTTGGAGGGTACAAAATATTGCAAACCAAAGCGAATTTCCCTTTGGGCAAGTGAGAAGATTTTCACGAAGGCAAATCAAATGGGAGCTTCAAAATTGCCTACCGGCCAAAATATAAGTTTATTCTGTTTTTGTGTGGGATTTCCCACACTTTGTCAATGCCAGCTATATTTATTTATTTATTTATTTATTTATTTGTCCATGAGAGCAAAGTGTTTGGCCTTAGGTCTTAGTGTTTTTCAGACACTCGCTGCCGTACTTATTCTTGACACGCCATTAATCATAAGGTGGGTAAACATGTGCTTTCTGTATATGCGTGAAATTCTCGGATGAATAAGGAACAATCAATCAATCATACAGCAACCATACAAAGTTCCAGTTCTCAGACAGAACTTTTGGCAATTACATATTTAAATGATGTCACATTGAAATTCCTTCAATCAGCTGAAAATCCCAACAATTTCCCATGGTAAAAGGATCATTTACCATGGTAAAAAGTTCCGTGTAACAGAACTCTGAGGGAGCGAATTTCCTGGAAACTAAAGTCCAAACATGTTTCTCCTGTAACCGTTTTTTCGTCTGCAGCTTGGGATCTTATAATTGTACTTTATTCATTCACAGCACATAAACTTCCTGGAACTCAAAGCAGCGATTCTTGCCTTGACGTCATTCCTGGTAGAGGGATTTCAGTTACTACCTCATGGCCTGGGCCAACATCCTCAGTACCATATTCTTCTGGAGATGGACAACACCACTTCAGTTATGTATGTGAACAGGAGGGGGCACTCAACCACCTACACTCACATTTGGCACAACTTCATTAAAAATTGCTCACCATGTGTGTGGTTGGTTGCCATTGGAGAATGTCCTTTAGTGGAAGGTAAAGGTAAAGTCTGCATACGAGCCAAGTGGACCACCAGGCCAGAGCCTACCCTGGTCTCCTTAGCTTCCTTTAGTGGAAGACTGGGTAAAAATTATTAATCAAAGCATCATGATGACGTTTTTTAGTCCTTCCCAGAAGACCCTGTGAGGTTGGAAGCTGAATGCCAAGAAGCCATCTTTGCAAAATGATTCAAGAGCTTTTGTTAGGTACCAAACATGGGTAGGCATTTTTGTTTTTCTAGACATTGTGGCTTTGTTATTTCAGCCACTTTTTGTCCCGATACCTCTGATTCAAAGAGGTGTCTTCTTTTGCCTTCATTCATTTTCCTGTTCTGTTAAAACCTGTCAATTTTGCTTTCATAGCATTCACAGTGGGTCAAATGTTGATCGTATGTTTTGAGTTTTGTAAGAAAGAAGTATGTGCCCTGAGGGCTGACTTGAGTTTAACTGTGTAATTTTGCAATTATTATTGAACAGACCAACTGTTCTAAGATGGCCAGGTGGCTACCTACCATGAGTTTTCTCATGTGACTAAAAGTAATGACTTAGTGGTACCACTTGGTGGTTTGCTGAAAAAAATGAATGACATGAATATGGAATGTGCAAACTTGGTATGCAAGTGCCTTTTTGCAATTTAACTTGATTATGTTTATCATGTAAGCTTACGTTTTTTATGCTTAAGAGCATTAAAAGCTATTTTTAGCTTAATTGGATATTTATAAACAACAGTATACAAATCTTTTTAATACTAACATTGAAAGTGAATCTCTCTATTCCACTTAGAAGACAGCAAGGATCACACCGATCTTTAAGAAAGACATTGAGACAGATAGAAAATTAGACCAATCACGCTGCTCAGCATTCCCAGTAAAATTTAGAATCGGAGGTGAACGATTCCCCAGTGTATCACACCTTTGAGGATCATGGATTAGCTTCAGATAAGTAATGGGCTTATAGATTGGACTATTCTACTGCTTCTGCTTGTTCTCTTACAGAAACATGGAGGAGGCTATTGGCTGTCGGTATACCTCGGGGATCAGTGCTCAGTTCTACTCTTTTCTCTCTATGAACTAGCGATATACCATCAAGTGTGAAAGTTTACCTATATGCTGATGACACTATGATCTACATGTGAGATAAAAACAACTAGATTTATTTGGGTATAACTGACAGTCTAGTGATGCACTTCTTTTCATTGCTCAATATGTTATAACCCGCAGCCTTGAAATTCAATCAGTCTCGGTTTCACCTCACATGCACCACTAGCTTGCTCGATTTTTCAGTTACTCAGTTTTCAGTTATGGATGAGGAAACCAAAGGGTGGTGCCAGACTAATAGTCTGGCTGGCTACTCTGTTAAAGCCTTAGTCGAAGAAGAGTTCGTATAACTGCAGGCCATTCAGGCTATGATGGCTGAGGTCATTGGAAATTTTTTCCCTTTCTTCAGGCACAACACTGCCTCCTCAAAAAAGCTGTTCCCAAAGCACAATCAGAAAGCAATGTCCAATCAACTTCAACTGGAGGTACTAACAAGGACACAAGCCAGCTGGCTCAAGATGTTGACACCCTGAAATCATCTATTCTGGCCCTTTTACAGAACAATTCGCAGGCCAGTGTAACTGTAAGAATGTAAATTGAGAAACCAAAATAGTGCAACATAGAGCACTGGTAATTATGGTATATTTCTTCACACGCTTTAGCTATACTTCATACTTGTCTTTATTCATCATAGGAAATGATTGCTATTTTGCTTAGGTTTGATTGTCATTTTTGACAACAGTGAGTAGACAAATACTGTAGCTAATAAAACAAAGAGTTTACCTATCACCAGGAGAAGAATTACTCTTTGCAAATCTAAACATTTGAATTTGCTGGAAACCTACTGAAGGACACAGAATGGAGTAATATTAAAACAATTGCTGCTTTTGAGCTCAAACAAGCTTCTGTCTGTGAATCTCAGAATATACAGTTGCACCAAAGATGGCAATGAATACAAGACAACTTCTGTTCAAAGCTATGGCATTAATCATCAAAGTTCAAAGTTTACTGCTCAGAGTTCTTGTTACAAACAGTTAATATGATTATTAAGTGGTTACTACAAAATCAAATATTCTCAGGAAATCATCATAAATAAAAGATTTCAAATCATAAAGTTGCATACATTTTGCTCCAACATATATTGTACACAAAATGATTCAGAGTTTCTGTACCCTCCATCCAATGATGTTTGATGTTACTTGTTGAAAATACTGCAAACTGAAAAAGCAGAACACCTTAAAATGTGCACAACCTAATGATGCAAAATACTGATCTGATTGACCAACCCTAATTTGCATAAACTGATCCCCCACTTCACAGAGTTAAAAAACATCCTTCGACTCGTAAGCTCCCAAGAACTCCTCAACAGCCCTTCAGCTTACTGGTTGCATGACATTCTTTACTGACTTTTTCTCCACCACTACCTACATCATCATTCAACAAATTCTCTTTGTCAAAGAACTGAGGACTAACAGCTGTGGGTGGTTCAACTTGATGCTTACGCACAAGGGGAGTTCTGCATGAGCCGAGGTACAATTGCAGTGTGACTGTACTTTCAGAGGCAACCTGATCAATAGACCCTTCAAAGTAGACAACCAGATCAGCACAAGGATCTTCACCTTCATTGCTGGTTACCACGGGAGGAAGGCTTGAGAATCATAGGTACAGTTTCCTCTTGGGAATAGTGCCATGGAGCAATAACATCCAGTTATGCACATAATAAAACAAAAAAAAATGTTTAAGTGCTGATGATGTTGCTAATACATTATTGTGCTCTTCTATGGAGCCGTGGAAATTTCAAAAAAAAAATAATTATGATAAAAAGACTTGTTCAACTACTTTAATTACCATATTCTATACACTAAACCTAATTATAGCATGTTATATGGTACATTTTCATCGACAAATGCCTCCTAAGGAGTACAAAGTAGGGAGCTGTCACACTCCAGGCCAGAATTGTCAACTTCTTGTGGATACTTTCTACATTCTGGGAGACACTTTAATAAAGGAGCTGTCAAATTGCAGAGCAGATGTGTCAACTTTCCCCCAAATTAACTCCAGCATAGAGATGGCTAAATCGAGACTTTCAAAGATCCTAGAAGACAAAGTCCCTTGGAGAAAGGTGGAACCTGACATCAATGTCTTTTTGACTGGACATTCCCAAGAAAGCTGTATGACCAGTCAGAACGACTATCGGGCCATAAGTTCAGAACACAGATATGATTTGGCTGAAAGCAAGCAAATGTTACCCACATTCTCCATCTTTTACCTGTGTAATGTTTCAAATGAGAGCAAGCCTGGTTTTGGCATACAGCAACAGGCACATTGCAACCCTTGCCGACTACTTATGACTGTAAGGACAAAGACTTCAGGAATATAGGAAAAAAGCTAACACACGGTGGATAACCTTGAAGCTTATGATCAAATATGTGTTGGAAGACACAACTCCTAAAATTAAAAAAGGAAAAAGCAGGTCAGATAACCTCCACTGAGTGATTCATCAACAAACTGCTCAATAACAGTTGTTTTCGAGGTTATTTAGAAGTTCTTAAGTTAGCTGTGATTGC